TTTGTTTTGTTTTATACCTCTATTAAAAAGCCAGGAAGATTTAAAGTTAACGTTTTTAGCCAGACGAAGGTAAGAGAATGACAATGTGGGATAATGTAAAAACACATTTTCAGCAGTATTTAATTAAAACAATCACAAAACAAAGTCTCAAGCGATTTAGTTTGTTTGTACAGCACACGAGTCAATGTTAGCTAATGTTGGGTTGACACACACGTGGCGTCTGCACACGTCCTTGGCTTTTGTTAACGTTATGGACCGTATTATAATCATCATTGGTCTAGTTTTTCTCCACTTGCATTTTTTTGTACTTATATTTGTATAAACTGAAAACTGGACCACGCCCAACGTTGTTTTCGGATGAACCTCTATTAAGCGGCCAGTTGTCTCGTCCCCGAGAGTGGCCGCTTAACAGAGGTTCGACTGTATCACGAGTAGTGAAAATCCTTAATTGCTCGAGCCTTCGGACGATTACTCATTCATTATATGACTCAGAAAATTGCGAAAGCACGCACGTTAATTTGCACTGCAGTGCAAATTAGGAATTAACGATAAATTGCCCTGCTCTCAGCCAATCACAATGGAGTAATTTTCTCAGCCATATAATAAATTGGATAACTGATTTAAAATGGGAGACGAAGTGGAAAAGTATTCAAATCAACACAGAGTGTGCACAGTTAAATTCACGTCGTTGTGTCGTTGTGTGGGTTCCCAGTGCTAAAATAAAGACGTAAAATAAAGACATGAGGACATTTTCACAAACGAGAAGTTACAACTGCAGCCTGCGAACAGGCTCCCAGCGGCGCGAAAAGAGGAGTTCGCCCCGATCACTTCGCTCTCCGAATTCTTCGGTTTCGCGCTCTTCGGCTTGCACTGCTCTACGGATATTTTTTTTCCGTCCTCGCCGGGAGCCTGTCAGGCTAGCGGTAAGGCCGTAAGAGCGAATTCACCTAACTCACAGCTTCGTCATTCTTGCTACACATACTACGCTATTGAAACAGAGCACTTACGAACAAAATGTACTCAGATACACCAGCTAAATGGCCACCTCAAAACAGGCAATTACTTAGAGTAGAGCAGTAGATCAATAATAATAACCAGGGAATGGGCGTAAACACAATCATCCTCCATCCCAAGCACTGTGAGGAGCAATTAATGAATTGGTCTTTTTTAAACAGCCTTTTGTAAGTTTACCTTAATCAGAATGTAAGCACGGCAATTCCATAATCTTATGCCAGAACTAGAAAAAGACTTTAAATTTACGTTCAAATTCGCTGCGTAACATATTGATTCCTTGCAGCAGAGAATCGAGTATTATATAGATGAACGTTAGATGAGCTAGACCCATGTTTTTTGAAGGAAAGTTCGCCACCCCTCATCGAGGGATTAAAGTCACTAAAGCACCCAAGACTCACGGCACCTCTTCGCATGAGCGGGTTAGCCGACCAGTAGCTATCCAGCACATCACAGAATTACTGCTAATATCCCCGAATGACAGAGCACGTTCTTGGGCAATGATTATATATTTGAGAAGAATGCGTTGTTCTTCTTAACTTAAAATCTTGAGACCTGTTCCAATGATAAAGGCTAGAAAATAAGAAACAAAACAACGATAACAAATTTCCCACCTTACCTTGGAATTTTTGACGTCTCAAGATGGATGAGAACGCGATATCAATAACTTTCCGCAAGTACCAATCAGTTAAGACACTTCACGAGACGCTCTTATGATTTATGCGCTTACGTGAGGCGGCAGTCTTTTGCCATATGTATGACATGCACATTTAACGCATTCCTACCTGTTAGTATAGTTACATTGACTACCAGACTATTATTGGAAGCAGGTGAGAAGTCATTCATTCCCTTCCACCGATTTTTAACAGTTTTTGCTTATATGTTGGTTTTACAGACAAAGATAACACATGGGATAAAGAAGATCGTATGCCAGTCAGATATTAAACTAATTCATGTTGATTCGTCATTTCCATAGCCACCTGCTTGCTAGCAAAACATCCTTTTTGGAATAGGGTCAATAGGCCACTTTCGATGTATTAATATTCAGCTTGATAATGAGGCTTAGAGGACACAAACAAAAGAAATGAATAAACATGGCCATTCAGTGTCCTTTGTTTGTGTCCTCTAAACTTCACTGCCAAGCTGAATTTTAATTTATCGAAAACGGTCTATTCTGCATTGTATTGACCCTTTTGTCTCGTTTGCATGCCTTTTAAAACAAAAGAACATTGACCGCAGAACTGCAATAACAGCTATTGCCAGTCTTTTGCAATATGTATGACATGCGCATTGAAAGCATTCCCACACGTTAACATAATTACATTGACTATCAAAAAAATTGACTTTTGCATGGCGCGCTGATATTTGTTCTAATCTCCCTAAGGTTAAGCCACATGTTAAAAAAAGGTGAGATGATATTCCATTCCCTCGTGCCGAACAGTTATGTACTTACATATTTTTACTTGAGTAAGGAACCCTGTTTTGTAGGCCAAAATTCCACGGCAACAAGGATTCGAGTCAGATTTAAAACTCATTTTTGTCGACTCGCCAGTTGCTAGATACACCTGCTTGTTATAGAGTACGCTTGTTGGGATTCCTGTTACGTCAACTAAAACTGCTTGGTTAACTTACCATAAATTTCCTTTTCATACAGAAACGCAGGTTGCACTTTCTCTTTCGTTCAATCTCAATCAATCAATCAATCAATCAATCAATCTTTATTTAAAACACGAAATCTTATCATAAAAATGGTCTTCCTAGGAGTCGTGTAAAAAATTACAAAGAATAATTTAACAATATTAATAGGAATGCATTAACTAACATTACAATATATTAACTAACGAACTAATTAACTAGCCTACAATAAAAACCTATGTAATAAAACTTTTCTCTAATTTATAATGCACTAAAAATAATCTTTCCGTACAGTGAGGTTCTCAACAGTTTTAAACTAGGCGTGTGTTTGATTTCCGAGGGAATCCTGTTCTACAGAACAGATCCTCTGTGGTGCAGGCTACCTTTTGCATATTCCGTCCTCGGCCTGGGGACATAGCAATTTATCTCAGAGTTTCTAAGATTGTGTGCGTGTACTGATTTGAGGTGTTGGTGAAAAATCTCCGTCTGTTAATATTATCAAAATATCCTTTTCCTTACGGCTGAATAATATGTAGGACTGGTTCCTCCGACAAACCCAAAGGAAGGTCGGTTTGGGGAAGGAGATTAGGAGAATTCAATTTTGTTTGAAAGTCTTGAGTAAGGCGATGGGTTTTAACTCTCGGAAGTACAAGCTGACTCATAGCCCCACCTTGGTACTAGGGAGGTGGATGGACCCCCCCCCCCCACCCCCCTTGGAGGGCACATCTATATTTATATATTATACAATGAATGGACTTTTTGAACTAGTCGTTTTTTATTAATCTTTTCTCGGCGATGTTTTCATCCTTGGTATAAAATAACTATTTCAGACCAAACGGCGGGAAACTCAGACCGTTTGACGCCGCAGGTACCTATAACGTTTATATAGGGGAATAGCTTCCAGTCAAACCGT